AATATACGACCTGTTCGCTTGGTCGTAATCGATCGTAAATTTCTAGCCAGAATAGTATTTTTTCTCTCACGTCAAACCAGCCAGCAGTAATAATCCACAATCGTATACGATCGTTTCAGCCCCAGCCGAACAGGCTGATAAAGTTTCATTCTAGAGTTTTATAGGCATTTGATTTCTTGACTCATAGAGAGTTAGTAATCGTGCTAAGAGAGTTTCATCATTTCTTCTCTTCCTTCTTAAATACAGTGTCATATCATTAAAAATGCCTACGTGACAACCTATTTAATGTAAATAAAACTCACGCTAAACTCCCACGGAGACCGGCCTTAGAATCGTCCTTAGTCTACATTATGCAGCTAGCATTGCTTAATTAAGAGCAATCCCGAGGGCGGAAGAACACTGTAGCTGCACGCCGGGATCGATTCCCTGACCAGATCCCATATTTTGTGATGCCCGTATCGCCATTCCACGTGAATAGAAAAGAGGAGCCAGGCGCTCGACATGAATACATGTATCCCAGCTCACCGATCGGCGAGCTGCTGGAGGAAAAAGAAGCCCCTTGTTTAATCGTGATGGCGCGCGCCCCTCGCGATTTGCATACATATAAACAACTTAGCCCCACCAATTCCTTTGTTTAATCTCGCCCAAAGCGCATCATCTGTGCTTAAGAGCCTTTTCCAAAGCTAGCTGGTGCTGGCTAGCCCTAGCCCCTAGCCTCACATGAACACTGACTAGCTAAGTGACTAAACCCTAAACAAATCCCCCTCATGTGCCTCGCATCGCTAAACTACTGCCTCGCCTGCCGAACTTAAACTAAGACCAGCACGAGTTAAGTAACCAGCAATCGACATGCATGCGATCAAGCAGTGTACCTGCATATTCGAAGAAGCGTCCAAGCGGTAGCAGTCCGCAGAAAGCTCGATCTGCCAGGTGTAGAATTGCACGGAGCACGGTGGTTAGCACGTCGATGGGTCCATGGCCGGTACGCTGCTGCTGCTAGTGTGCCGAAAGCTATGCGTCAAGGAGGGTCGCCCGGCTTGATGGGCAGCGTACAGCATGGGCACTGTCGTCCGATGCGGACGCGACGGCTCTCTGCTTCTGCAGCTAGCAGTTGTGTGGAACGACCGCGCCACAAAGGCCGGCCGGAGTCCAAAGCCACCTCATCTTTGCATGTACAGACTGCTGGCATGTGTATATATGGCCGCTGTGTAATGTACAGTACGTATACATGTACTGTACTACTGTACGTGTAGCTAGGGTCGTCGACGGTACGCAGCAGTGTTACTGTTACTGTACGTATCGATCAGAGGGTCGTAGACCACGTTTCTCATGCACGCCGGTGTGTGTGGTGGTTGCATGAAGCTGAAGCAGTCGATGGGTCTCCTTTTTTAGGCCATACATGTAGGTACTGTATGTGGCGTAGCAAAAGTGGCCTGGATAATTACGTGTCATCCTTCTTTTAACGTGCACACTTTGTTCTCAGACCAAAAAAAAGCAAATAAACCTATATAAATGCTCTCGCTTTACATCCTGTGGCTAGTGCTTTTCCATACGGATTGTCGATCGTAGCTAAAGTGAAAGAGCTAGGATGAGACGGCGATCCTTTGCATGGACCGCCAGATAATCTTCTTAATTACCAGGGGCCGTTACATGTAGTCATCATTCATAAATCAAGCATCATTATTGAGTTCAAATAATAAACATTAGGATCCCAGATCTCATGAGATGAGCTTGTAGCTAGATCAATCAGATGTCTTTCTGAAAGACCGGAACGACGACCATCTCCTGTGTGTAGAGCCACGTACAGCTATATCACATTCTGTCTGGATGCAAAAATATATTTTGAGTTGAAAAATACCATCTTTTTGTGCCTCGTTCGCTTCACTGAAAAAACAAACCAAAACACTGTTTCATCTGATTTGTTATAAGAGAAAAACACTATTCCGGCTGATTTTAGTTTTAAAGTGCCATAAAATGTTTGGATGCAACCAACTTCCGGGTTTTGAATACCACGGTTTACTATAGCGGTAGTCCTTTTGAAGTATTCAAAACTTCACTCTATGATTCTTTTTTCTAAGCCATAGTTTTGCACACATCGATAGGTTCTAAAACTACAGCTATATATACGACGCCCGATTGAGTTATTGAACGCCGGCGAATTGGCACGCTACGTCTCACCTACCGTGAATACCACCCGGCCAGCTGCTTTCTTTCTTTCTTTGGATGCCCAAATCAGACGGAGACAGCCCCGGGGCCCGGGGCCCGGGGCCCGGACGTGGGCACTTGGCCATGCCCACTCGGCACAAACAAAACGCCAACGGTGCATATCCCTCCTACAGCTGCGTGCGCCTCTTGAATCTTAAGCCACTGATAGCGCTTTTTTTCCCCTCGCGATTAAAATGCGCTGCGTATATATATGTTGTCGTGTAGAATTTGAAGTTGTTGGCCTTGCCCTTTCGCCATGCCATCATTCTCTCGTATATATGCTTGCACTGGCTACACGAGCCGTGATCTTAATTTCGAGTGCTACGTACGTGTTATGAATTGATGAGGATGTTAGAGCTCGGGTCCATTTTTCTTGACCGAAAGAATATGATTATCAAATTCCTAGAAATTAATGAAGTAGGAGGAGTAGCTAAATAATGATTTGATAAAATAACCTTTAACAAATCATATGTATGCATGTCTCACAAAAGAAAGCCATTTTATAGCCAAAGTTGCTCGTGCATGTTGGACCAAAGTTTTGTCTAGTAGGAGGAAAAAATATCAGGTGGCTGTCATGAAATATGTCGTGTTCGGTGACAGGGGAGATTAGTACGGATTCTTAATTGTACTATAATGCTTGTTATTTAATCTTCTTTTTTCTAATCTGAACTAGAAATTTTGTTTGTTGTGATTCTATTTTCTTCTTGATGAACTTTATGATTAGATTATTAATAAATAAATAAGAATATCTAGTAATGTATGGCATTTTTCGTAAGCTTTGGGATCACTAGATTTTGACTAACAACATTGATTGCTTAAGACTGTAGGAACCTAAGCGTAACTAACGCGTCCGGTGGTAGTGGAATATATAACAGCCAAGCTAGCTAGTGGACAAAAACTAGCAAGTATTAATTTTTCACCCAAAACTAAAATGTGCCAATCTAACTAACTTCATATCTTGATTTTGACTGCTAATCCTTCATTATGCATATAGTACATCAACCATACAAAACTACTCCCAAAGATACTTCCACTAACTAATAAACTCATGTGAATGTTATAGGAAATGTGTCAAGATACATCAAGATGCTCATTTACAAATGCCCCACATATGTGCGCGCATACTCACGCTTACTCCTATATATGACTCCTATGAGAGACTAGAACGAGAAATCTTGAAATTAACGAAATCGCCATATAATTAGTTTCACATCGCCTAATGTTGAAAGAATAATTAGTTGAAAATACGTGAACTAGAGAAGTCAAGGTTGATATATATGTGCCCTTGACTGAAGAATGACGAGTCATTATGAAGATGATTTGAGGCTTTCTCGGTGCTCTTAACTTATATATACTAGATTAGGCCAATGGCTAACGGCTAACCAGCGGTGTAGTGTTGTGTTGTGTGGGAAAACATATCGTGTATTGTATCTCTTGTCTTTTGAAGTGCATGTGATGGATGCAACAGGTTTGTCGGCTAGAATGGGTGAATGACAAGCAAGGTTCACGACAATGAACCAAAGCGGTGAAGGGCAAGCGAGGAGAGGCTTAGGACTGACGGATCAAGTAAGACCAACAAGGTCATCATGGACTATCCATATCGCTCACACGAAAAGAAAGAGTGCAAGGAGTGAAGAGAATAATGAAGATGGTGTTGACCAAGTCGAGGACAAAGGATGATGGTGTCATGAGCACTTGGCAGAGACCGGACACACGTCTACATTGTGGATGATGGAGATAGCGTCGATCAAGACAAGAAGGAAGGCAAAGGCATTGAACCTTACCGGAGGTTGAAAACACATCGACATTTGTGAGTCACCACTTGTAGGGTATGCAAGAGGGTTTGCTGGTTTGATCCTCAAAACTAAGCATGGAGGTATTGGCGGGTTGGATCCTAAAACTATTGGCGCATGGGTTTGAGCGATTTGGGCTCAAAACCTGCTTGACAAGTCGGAAGACATGTGTGGTCATCGTAAAGCTTGCATCGAGGCAAAGCGAAGTCACAAAGACGATGGGTCCATCCGATGCATTGACAAAAATCTTAACAGTTTTACCCCTAGGGATAATTGGATTGAGTGCTTCATATAAGAACATTTTGAAGTGTCTATATACAGAGAGATAGTAGGTTGTGTGGAGCACAACTTGGGGATTAGGCTCTCGTTTGAGTGGTTGACAGTTTTCCTTAGGGTTAGAAAGAGAGAAAAGGAGAGGCTCTTGTTGTTAAGTTTTGATGTGTTATGAGTAGCTTGTATCACAACGTCTAGAGCTAATCCAAAATTTAATTTCGTTCTCCATTCCTCAAAAAAAAAACACTCGCTAATACGATCAGTATTACACTTAACATGAAATGTTGAAGATGTACTTAACAAGATCCTTGCCTATTTCATTTTCCGCATTACAATATATACGGAGTACGTATTGACAAATTAAAGAAGCCGGGTACTCAACTATATACAACTGAATCAACTGATGCTGTAATACTGACATTCCCAAGTTATTACTTGGCCAAAGTCATTTTAGAAACCAATTTTTATTGTCTGGTCACACAGGCAAGTAGGCAAGGCAAGCCTCTGTTTCACCGCATTCTACAACGACTTGCCACCCGGAGATCACAGCGACCCCACAAGCAAGCGCCCACGCCCGCGCGAGCGTGACCGGCCGGCCATGCGTTTCTCTCTCTCTCTCTACAGTTCTGCACAACGCACACACGAAGCTAAAAGCACGTGGCATCGGTCGTCCGTTGCAGGCAACCACCACCGGCAGGTCACGGCCGGCCGTGCGTCCGAACCGAACGGCTAGTCCGGCTGCACCGGCGCGGAGGCAGCGTCCATCCAGCAGTGATCGTGGGCCCACAGAAGCGGCTCGCTCAGGCTGTCGCCGTCGTACTCTTCGGCCGCCGCCGCCGGAGCTGCCGCCCAGAAGGGTGACCAGAGGCCGTCCCTCAGGTCCAGCAGAAAGTCGGGCAAATCAAACAGCACGCTCTCCTCCGTGTTGCTGGCCGCGGCTACCTCCTCCGAACTGGCGGCTGACGACGACGATGGCGTCTCGGCAGCATGATGGGAGGACGACTCGCATTGCTCTACGTCGGCATCGGCATCGACGGCGACGGCGGCGGCGGCGGCGGCAGCCTTGGCTGCGGCGGCCTGGATGTCGGCGGGCGAGGTGGACGCCGGGCGGGGGAGCTCGTGCGCGAGGTGCGGGAAGTTGAGGTGCGCGGCGCGGCCCTTGATGGCTAGCGCGGCCACGTCGTGGGCGCGCGCGGCCATCTCCGCGGTCGGGAACGTGCCGAGCCAGATGCGCGACTTCTTGCGGGGCTCCCTGATCTCGGACACCCACTTGCCCCAGAGCCGCATGCGGACGCCGCGGAACGTCGGGTGCCTGGTGCCGGCGCTGCCCCTTTTGCGCCGGACGCCGCTGCCCTCCTCGCCGCCGCAGTCGTCGTCCACGGTGGCCTCGGGCGCCACCGCCACGCCGTCCCCGGGAGCAGCAAGCGGGGACGCGGCTCTCTTCCGTTTCACGTTCTTGTGGGGCTTGCCGCCGGTCTTGGACAGTAGCTCCTGCGCGCCATTGATGACGCACGAGCCGCCGCCGGAGTCGGAGGAGGAGGAGGAAGAGGAAGAGGTGGTGGGCGCATGGAGTAGTGCGTCAGCTTCCATGGCTCTTTCTTAGAGCTACGAGACAAGGCAGGGGCGCACTGGACCGGTGCCGTGGAAAAGCGCGGTGCTGCACCGAGAGAGCGCTTCCGGTTACCGGGCATAAATAGCTCGAGGGCTCAAAAGCTTGTGTGCTGCTAAACGCCACCATCACTACAGTACACAGTGGTAGAGACTACAGTCACCGGCACTGGGTAGCGACAAAGTTGGTGAGTCTGTCACTGTATAGGCTACAGAGTTAGTTAGGACGTCCTTAACTGGAAAAAAAACTGACAAATTCCATCTCTGAAACTCTCTGTTTACATTATTTCCAAGTGGTATGTAATGGTCAGACCGTCAGAGTATAATGAAATGCATTACAGGCCACTGGGCTGACAATTTGTGGCAGTGTGATGCTGAAATTGTACAAGCCTCTGTCCAGACGATTTTCTTCTGTTTATAGAGTGCGGCAGGAAGGGGTTTAGACAGGCAAATCGCCCATAGAAAAGCTGCGTCTCAACCACTAGCCGTTACGTGAGGTGGACGTGTGCAGCTGCAGTTAAAAGAGGGACGCGCAAACGGCAAGGAGCACAACGTGCACGTGCTGCCCGAGAAAATTCAGAAACTCATAGAAATAGTGCGTTGAACATCTTATAGAATACGGAGTATATACGTACTTTCAACGTCCAGTCACGCAACCCCCTGGTCATGCAAGTATATGCAACATGTTCCCAGGCCAGTCCCACGTGAGAAACCTGCCTGGATTGCGTCTTTCGAGCAAGCCGCATCAAGACTAGTACGAATCGTCGAGGCGAATCAACAGTCCGCCCGCCCGCCCGTCGTGATCGACAAACGACGCAAGAAAGCATCTCGAGCAGCAAGATTCCCCCAGAAAGCAGCCGAAAAAGTTCGCAGCTTTTCGAGCGGCCACCTGGCAATCACACCACACAGTGAACCGGATGCAAAGGCTGCAGCGGCAAGCACAGCGACGTAACAGTAGCACGATATCACGATAGGCCAACCAAAATGGCGTGGGCAGATGTCAAAATGGCCAAACTATCATCAAACAGATGAGCACGGACTCCAAAATAGCCAAACTATCATCAAACGAAGTGCACAGACGACGCCCGGTTTAGACAAATCAGATTAAAATCTAAAACATACCTCGGCAGCTTTCGCTTCCAAGGACCATCACGGTGCACGGCAAATCATTACCACCAACAAAATCAATGTTTCTTACACATCAAATAGTAGCACACCATGAGCTGGATACTTTTTAGACGGGTACACAAAAGAACATCGACATGGAGCTTAACTAAGCCAGTCACGCATTGCACAGGCGTGATCAGTAAATTGTAGCTGAATGACCAGGGTTGAACCCTGGGGCTCAATTTTTCCTGACACTAGTAACTACACAGTTTCAAGCATTTTTGCCAAAAAAGAATCGAGATGATCAGATGGATAAATCCTGCGGAAATTTTTTGGAGAAGTGATCTGATGAACCCAAATTTTACTGCTGAGCACATTGCACCCTTGGGCCAGCCGCCTCCTCGTCTTCATCATAGGCTTCCTGCCGCTTCTGCTGCTGCCTGCGCCTCATCTCCTCTTCTATGTTGACATCATGCAGGGTGGTCTCCTCGCACTGGTCCAGCTCCATGTCCGACAGTTGGCTCCCTGGTTTGGGTGGAAGGATCTTCTCCAATGATCGGCACTGGGCAGCGGAGAGCGCACCAGGCTCGGGAAACTCGACATTGAATTCAACAAACAGACGACCCTTCATGAAAGGACGGCCATGCTGAGGCATACCCTCATCATTAATGGCCTTGTGTTGACCTATTCAAACAAAACAACAAGCAGAACTGAGATTTTATTGGATAGGATAGCTGAGCTCAAAGGAGAAAATAACAAGCAAAAAAGAGAATCAATATATCTTACCTGGTTTAATAACCTCCCCAGGGTTAGATTTGATCAGAAGCTGCCGGCCATCAAGATGAGTAAGAACAAACTGGAAGCCACACAGTGCCTCAGTGAGAGAGATTGTGTGCTCAACGTATAAGTCATCATACTTCCTCTTAAATTTTGGATGGTCTTTAAGTTGCAAAACAAAAACAATGTCTCCTGTAACTGTATCAGGCTGAAAAAAGCGAAAATTAAAACATTAGATAGATACTGACAACATGCAGATATGTGTGCATGTGTGTAAGTTGTAACAGAGACCCACAGCTTCATCAGCTTGACCCTGGAATACAATCTTTTGGCCATGTTGCATTCCTTTCTCCACATGAACCTCCAAGACCTTCTTCTCATGGACTACCTTGCTTCCTTTACAGCTTGGGCATTTATCCTTGTCACTTATGATCTCGCCTGAACATTGAACAACCTTAAGAACAAACTCAGTGGAACAATATTTTCAAATGAAAGATAAAAGAGCAGCACACCTGATCCTTTGCATTCAGAGCAAACAGTGTTCATCTGTTGGATCATGCCAGGGCCTATCTGTCTTGTTATTGTCCTCATTCCAGCACCACGGCAACCATGGCACGTTCCTGATGCCCCACTCTTCGATCCTTTTCTGAAGGTATAACAAACAGTGAATGGTGAGATCCATACAGATGAATTCAAAAGCAAAGGCAATAGGACATATTTGGTCACGGTGAAGTAAGCATCTCCAAGAGATTAGCCAAAAAGATGAGCCAAATTTACTGATTTAGCTACTCTCTAAAATAGATTTGACAAGAAAATACTTGAGTATTCAACAGACTCTGTAAAACCAAGAGGCTAGATGGCCAGTGAGGTAGGTTATCCAAAAGTAGAGAGCGAATGAGGTGTGATGGAGAGCTACTAAATTTGGAGAGTCATTTACAGAGTCTGTTGATGACATTTTTCCTTTAATAATAGCCCAATTTACCTTTAGAAAATGATTTGGCTAATCTCTTGGAGATGTTCTTAGGGTGTGTTTGAGAGAGCTCCTCCCCAAGGCTTCTCTGGAGGAGCCGGAACCGTTTTAAAGGAGCCACAACTATACGACTATTAAAGTACTAAACCAGACAAACTTGCAGTTTCATTTGAGGGGGATCACTGTACAATGCAATTGTGAAAACACTTCTGGTTTGAGCACCAAATAAACTTCATCAAATCAAATCAAAAGTAATAAAAGGGGAAAATTTGCTTCTTGTATTACTCTACTGATGGAGAAAATTCCAAGTTAAGTCCACTACACATTAGAACTAAACAACAGAAACTTCTGACAAATGGCAAAACAAAAGATATAAGGGATAAAAGGGCAAATGTCAATATCAGCAAACCATAGATTTTTTTTTCTCATCTAGCACATGGTCACATTAAGAGTGTTGTATGTTTTAGAGATCAAATTATACTCCATAGACTACATCAATGTTTTCAGAAATTTTCCTTGCCAACTTAGTGCCTAAATACAAAGCTGAAAACATCTTTCCATAGTTTATTGCACTTAATATTTGGATTAATTGCAAGAGAAACATCCGCAGCAATAGAACATTGGAACCCTGAATGAGTTGCAGCAGAAATCCAACTGTACACTATTGTGCTGAGACGGAATGTTAAGTACAAATCATGATATATATAATGCAGGTGAATGAAAAAAAAAGTGAATGACAACATCATGAGTATTCATTTCACAAAATGTCACAAAAATGTGTTTATGGCCCTTAATGCTTTTCATGAGCCAGGATTCCGGGGAGTGGGCAATGAGAATACTAAGTCAATAATCTACCGAAATTCAATTCCAGCCACAACAATAACCATTTTGTAACTTCAAATAATCATCATAGCTAATTACTGAAAAATTTGTGGTAGACAAAGAAAATTTAAGATTGCAATGTAAAGTAAAGTTGAACGTAAAAGTTTATGACCGTATCATATAACAGAGAAGCAACTTGACAGGCTACAAGTTCAAAAGAAGAGATTATTGCATAGACCCAAAGGAACTACGCTTCCAGTCATATTACTATTAGTTAGACCAGAAGACACTACTTTCAGCAACCACAGCTGGAGAGAAGCAAGTTCAACACAACAAACTAGAGTGCATAGAAAATTGCAAATGTAACCCTCTTCTTGTGAAACAAAGCTATGCTGCATAGGACCTACCACCCTCCCATGAAATACTCAATGTGCGCATAGTAATGTTCATGTCTGATTTTTTATTACGTTAAATTCAACATGAACACACATAAATGAAAGCCACTAAGCCAGTGATGCATCATTTGAAAGTTGAGACATTAGTATATTTGCAGCACTTGCCACATATCAACACAGCAAAACTGTTCATCTTTAGACAATTTATCTACTGAGAACAAAGAAAAACTTTACCCCTTGCACTTGGAGCACAAAACACTCCGCGATAAAGATAGTTTCTTGGTTGTCCCATTATACAGATCTTCTAAGGAAACCTTCATAGTATGCACCACATCTTCACCACGCTTTTGTCTGCGTCCTCTTGAGCTACCTCCTTATTAACCATAAATAGATATATAAACATTGTAGTATTTTTAATCTAAAAGGGAAGCATGAAGCAACTATACATATAAACAACACAAGATATTCTGATTACCCCCAAAGGTGCTAGAACCTGGAAAAAGTTGCTCAAAAATGTCGAATGGGCTATGGAAATCACTGCCGCCGCCTCCTCCCATTCCCTCCTTAAGGGCATCTTCTCCATACTGGTCATAGATCTCCCTCTTCTCCGGGTCGCTAAGAACATCATAAGCTTGAGACAACTCTTTAAACTGCCCAGTTCATCAAGAAAAACCTGGCGATGAGAACACCTACAATTGCACATACTAAGATAATAGTACAGAACAAACCTTCTCAGGGTCTCCACCCTTGTCAGGATGGTTTTTTATGGCAGCTTTTCTGTATGCTTTCTTTAGCTCATCTTGACTTGCGGTCTTAGACACACCAAGAACCTCGTAATACTTGGTATTGTTACTGCTCTTCCTTGGCATGCGTCCAAACATGGTTGATAATAGGTACTTGCTATGAACGGAAAACTCGAATCAAATCAAGCGATTAATAATAATAATAAATGATAAAAAGTGCCAGTACTTTTCAAAAGAGAAGCTACTCTGTATAGCAGTGAACTTATATACAATAAAAAAACATCGCCTTATCAAAAATAAGGAACGGCAAAAGATATATACGAGGACTAAACCACGGGCGGACCAGACTAGCGGCATAGGGGTTCAGTTGAACACACGAAAAAATTGGAGGATATGCTGCTATTACTACGCTACCGCCCAAAACACGAACCCACAACACACTAGACGGATCGACGCATCCATACCAGATCGAAAGATCTGACAACTCGCAGCAAACAACGGATTATTCCACAGAACAAACCAAAAGATGCATCCAGGTGAGCTAGGGTTTCCTTACCAGCAAAGGAAGAAGTCAGTTCGAGCAAGGATGGATCTCCACCGCACGCCGGCCCACGGTGAGGGCGAGGGCGAGGGCGAGGGCGACGACGCGGGGAGGACGAGATGCGGCGCTGCAGCGGAAGGGCGCCTGGATCTGTAGAGGCGTGTACGGCGCGGAGACGCCTATAATAGGAGTTGGGACAGGAAGGGAAGAGTCGTAGTACGTGGGCTGGATTGGTGGGTGATATAGCCCGGCCCATGGAAATAATATACTCCAGTACAACTTGATTGAGTTGCACTTGCACCATGGGCTGAGAGGGGGTCATCCTAAAATATCTCGTCAGTCCATCTTACTACAACTTTCATCATCATAAAGGAAAAGGATCAATTTTATTTTACTTTCTAAACTATCACACAGTCAATTTTTCTCTTTGAATTTCATAATTAGACATCTTACCTCTTCAACTTAAAATCATTTAAATTACATTCCTACTCTAGTTTGAAGTAGTTTAAAGATGGTTTTATCCTCTTTTTAGTTAAAAAATAGTAAATGCTTGATAAAGTTTTAAAACTACAAAAATACCTAGAGACAGATTGAGATATGAAAAATCCAAATAAATTATCTATAATTCCTTGAAAATATCTCTAGAAGCTTCTAAAATTTGTTTTATCCCTAGGAAAATGGAAAAATATCCAAAAAAACTCTAGAAATTTCTCAAAACATTATAATTGATGTATAAATATAATTTGAAACTTTACACAACATAAAAATAAGACACGACCAACATGAATCCATAGCATGAATGCATTCAACATTAACATATGTTGCATCCATGATAGTTTCATCTCGTATTTTTATCATTAAAAGCTCGCAAAACATATTTGTACATTAATCAGAATGTCTGAGAATTTCTAGGTTTGTATGGATATTTTTCCCATTTTTAAAGCTAAATCGAATTTCTAGAAGCTTGTAGAGATATTTTCACGAGCTCTAGATATTTTATTTGGATTTACTCTATCACAATCGATCTCTAAGATTTTTTCCATAAGCTTTATAAGCTAGAGACTTTTTTGTGGTTTAAAAGACTTAACTATTCATCGGATTATTCTTAACTAAGAAAGACAAAACTACCTTTAAACCCACTTGAAACCAAGGCAGGGAGATAATTTGAATGGGGTGAAATGTCTGGTTTTAGAGTTTGAGGGGGGCAAATCAAACTATGGAGATAGTTCATGGAGGTAAAATAGACTTTTTTGCTTCCACCCATGCCGCCAAGTGTATCCGCAAATCACGCCCTAAGTCTGACGTTCTCTTTTGCACACTCATATTTCCTATAAAAAGGATGCTTTTATCTGTCCTTCAACTATTTTCTCCAATAAAGTCATGTTTTTCTCCACCATCAACAAAATTGGTTATTTATCACTTTTGTCTTCATCAACTTCTAAAACCATTTGTTTTCCACTATAAATGACTTTGATAGTGCTTTATCGTATATGGCATATCGTTAGGCATCCTACGAGGCTACATGTCAGGCGCAAGTTAATTGGACTACATTGATACTTTATGGGTCAAATAAACTTTACCACAAAATCTACATAAATATTATTTTTAAAAACATTATCCAATTATTTTATTTAAAAACTATGCAATAGAAATCCAAAAATGTCATTTTTCTGTTAGAGATTCATTAGAAATGTTTTAGCTCAGGAAAATATGAAACCAACATTGTCACAACCCAACCACTCCGTCTTGTTTAAACTTTTGCTCATCACATTGCTAAGCCTAATCAATCGACTCCTTTTTCACATGGGTACAGAGCAATGCGTGTCGTTGGATCATATGACAAGACGTGGATGCTACAATTTATTTCAGAATTTAATAACGTTATTCTTTCAGCTAGTGTTATTTGAAAAATATATTCCCATGTCACATGGGTATGAAGCAATGCATGGCACTTGACCATGTGACAATCCATCGTGTGGGGTTGAGACTGAGAGTTTGAGACATTAGAACTGACCATTTTCTTTGAAATCGTAGTGAGGAAGCAAATCACTACGTACACTCTACCTTACAAACACCCTTACACCCTATCTCATGAGCACTTCTGAAAAGACTAAACCGATAGATCTCAAAACTATTAACAAATCATCGTAAATGTCTCACTGTCAGCAGACATATTGCTTACCGTTGAAAGAATAGAACCTAAATCAATCTAGGAAAAATTCGAACATCCTCACCAAGTCGAGGGTTTGAAGATGGATGGCTAGGTTCCACCACACTTAACCTATCAATTCAAAGGGGGCACTCGAACTCTAGGAAGCCGATTTGTTCACATACAAGATGCGACCAAGTTAACACTTAAAGACCACTTATATCGTTTGCCGTGCTTATGTTTAGCATTCCCAATCCCTAGTAAGGATACAATAAAAGTTTTTTTTTCTTGCTTCGTGAAGAGCCAATTTGATTTGCTAGGCTCGACAAAGATTTACTAACCTGGCCAGACAAGGCAAGCTAGACTAGAAACCGAGCACCCCTTTCATTTCTTATTTGGAAAGCAAGAATGTAGGGTAGGGCCACAAAATACTTCTGTGTGTTGTCTCTCTGATCGTCGAATCTTCTTCCTGTTACAAGGATATACTCCTCCGTCCTAAAATAGAAGTCGTTCTCGCTTCCCGAGAAGTCATTTTTTACTTTGACCAATTATATATAAAAGAATATTAATATTTATACATAATTAATATCATTAGATAGATCGTTGAATATACTTTCTAATAAACTTTTTTGGGGATATAAATGTTACACGTATTTTCTACAAACATAATCAAAGTTGAGAAAGTTTGACATACATGCATCCCATAACAACTTTTTTTCTAGGATGGAGGGAGTAGGTGCTACTGACCTGTTGAAAAGGTCCTTGTTTGGTTTTGATAATTGAATGAAAATCTAGGTGCATTAATGTGTTTAAATGTGATAAACACAAGTGATTAGTTCATAGGTACATGTGTGTGAGAATACCTGCCATGAAGGTGAAATGGCTTGGATTTGTTACAAGGCTCACACATGTGATGAAGGAGCTCATTGCATATGAGACATGACATTGAGTCATGTGACTAAGGTGGAGAAGATCAAGACAAGACTTGGCTTGATGGACCGGTTGCAAGCGTGAAGGACAAGTTGAAGGCTTTGTAGCGATGGACCGCGTGGCGGTGAAGCTTGAGCAAGACTTAGCACCGATGGACAAAGACAACGGTGAAAAACAAGTGAGGTCAAGATTGATGTACCAACAAGGTCACATGATGATATGAAGTGAATCATATCATTTATGATATGGTTGGTGCATGTGTTGCATCGACATTGAAGGAGATGGAATGGAATACGCAAGGCAAAGGTATAACCTAGGTGTTGGTATATTTAACGCACCCAGATAAATCTATCAAGCGCACGGATACCGCTATAGCTTTCATCTAGAAGTATTCCAAGTATCGTATCCATAGGAAAACATGTGAGAGTGACTACGTCTAACATAACCCGGAGTAGCAACAAGACTTAAGATAACAGGAGTATAGAGGAGACCACAAAGGTCTTCTAGTTCTAACTTCGGTAAGATATGCCTTCTATTGTTCAACTGGGATATTACTAAGAGAAACACAAGCAGAGTATGTTTCCTATAGTAACTAAATTCTGCTAGGCCTACAAATGGGAGGTGGACTACAAAGGATTCAATGAGGCTATAAGAGTCACCCTCACGAGCTACCACCGATTTGGAATATAGGGTACATACACAAGTAACCCGGTCTAAGCACCATGCTTACACCTACAATTACTACTTTAACCTAGAGTGTCCTATAGATTAAAGCACTCAAAGAGTTCTGAACCTGATGAGCAATATAAACATGATGCTTACTTGAATTAGAAATTCATTATCAGAGAATCCTCAAAACAAGCTCAAGTATAACTTGATTCCGCTAGGGTACAAGCAGTAGAGAGAGCACTGATAGGCCAGCACTTCCTCCAAACTCTTTCCTCACACTCTATCTCACTATTATTTACAAGACTAGATCCTATGGAGAACTAATCTTCTCTTGATAGCTGGCTCTAATCCTGACGAGGAGAATATGAATTAGGGCTTTAGGATAGCTCTAGGGAGGAGGGTAGGGACTGCTATATATAGGCCAAGGTGTAGTAGGGGACAAGGAATTGCCACGTCATCGATCCGCGTCAGCTACTCCCTCGATCACCGTTGGATAAACCGACCTAGAACCACCTTAAAATCAATGGTGTAGATCTTAGGAACGAGTACAAGGCAGCGAAGGGCGAGCATGCTTCGTGGTAGGTCGGCTGGCCTATGGGCTGGGCTGGCCGGCCCACTTTCATGGCTGTTTGGCCTAAGCTTCGGCGTGGTGTCTTCTGGAACCTTCTAGAGTTATCTTTCGTAGTTTCCGTGGGTTGAATCACCTGTTGTCGTCGGTTTGCTTCTTTGGAGTGTATGACATTGGTCCCGGGAGCTGTTTTTTGGATAAATCCTCCTGCAGTCATGAAATCACCAAAGCTCGTGGAATTCATTAGTGTAAACCCATATACCTATGTTTGGTGATGGAAT